ATATTTATATATATATACTTACATATGATCCGCTACAGCCACCGAGCTCTAGCCCTGCTTCTCTCACGGATAATTCTTTTTCCAGCAAATGTATATTTCATTTTTTATTTTCATTTTTTTTCTTGTTTGTTCAATTCTCTCCCGCTTCTGGCACAAATCAAGCACACTAATCTCGTGTCGCTCTCTCTATCTCCTCCTTCTGTCGGCGGCGTGGCTGGCGGCTCGCAATTCCCGCTGCTCTCCCTCGTCGCTGGCTGCCTGTGACTCAAAAAAAAAAAAAAAAAAAAAAAAAAAAAAAAAAAAAAAAAAAAAAAATCGCCGTCTGCAACGCCATGCATCTCTCTCTACTACGCCCGCACCGAATCCGCCCACGGCGTCGTGAAATCGACGCTACGTCTCTCACTATACAAATATCTATCTATATATTTTTATATATATTGAACCCTCGCGTGACAAATACCAATCACCCCCCTCCCTCACCCCCACCCCCTGTACCCGCTCGTTTACCGCTCGCAAAAACCACCTTTTTTATCTACTTTAACTCGCTACAACAATAACTCTATATCTCAATACCCATAATATTGAATGCCTGTTTTCATTGTGTTTGTTTTTGTGTGTTGTTTATCGTTCTTCGTTGGTGTGGATTTGCATGATATATTTATCTTTTCTTTGGGTTATTTTGATATGTTTCATGCAATGCTGTGGTTTTTATATGACTAATTATGTTTTTTTTTCATATTTGGGATTTTTACTTGTTTGCCATGTTTTGGTTATCTTTGTTTTATTATAATTTTCACTGTCTGTTTCTTACTGTGTTTGCAAATCTTGGTTTCTTGGCCATTGTTGCATTGCCTCCCTCTACCCTATATCTCTCTCTCTTTGTCTGCATCTCTCTCTCTCTCTCTCTCTCTCTCTCTCTCTCTCTCTCTCTCTCTCTCTCTCTCTCTCTCTCTCTCTCTCTCTCTCTCTCTCTTTCTCTCTCTCTCTCTATCTATCTGCCTATCTGTCTCTCTCTCTCTCTTTGTTTCTTTCTTCCTGTTTTTATTTCCCTATCCCTCGTCTTTCCCTCCTCCATCCATCCCATTTTATTGTTTCTCCAACGCCCTCCCTTCCCGTCATTCTCCCTCCATCCCTCCCCCCTTTTCTCTTCCTCCATTGCCTTTTACTCTCCCCCCTCCCTCCCCCCCGCCCCGTGCCCCTCTCGGCCCCCCCTTGGCCCCGCAGCGTGAACAAGCCCCAGAAGAGCATGGGCCTCCGTGGCATGCCCCTGACCTACGACCCCGAGCAGAGCGCCACCTGGCAGATCATCCACGAGGAGGAGAACTGCCAACTCATCACCGAGCACGGACCCACGGAGTCCAAAGTCTACTCCATCTAATTGCCCTCTGCCTCCTCTCCTTCCTCCTCTCTTCGTCTCCTCTCCTCCAGTCGCCTCCCCTTCCCCTCTGTCTCCTCCTTTTTCTCTTTGTTGCATTCTGTTTCTTTCTTTCTTTCTTTCTCTTCCGAATCTTCTTTTCTTCTTTCGCATCTTCACCTCCTGTTCTAATATCTATCTTTCCTCCAGTTTGCCTTATCTCTCTCTTCGCTCGAGACTTGAGTCTTTCCTCTCCTTCCTTTCGTCTCCCCTTCTCCGTTCTCAGACCTCCTCCGTCCCTGGACATTCTCTTCCCTGCGGCCCGCTGTAACCATGATAGCATGCTGATAATATAGAATATTTATTGAAGCAAAGAAGGCTTTGCATTCGGTAGCCTCTTTATTTTCTTCCTTTTTTACTTATTATCATCATTATTTTTGACCTATGCGGAGGCTCTGCGTAGCTGCGCACGCACAAGTCCTCCCGGCCACCTGCTGGCCTTTCTTGCCCTTCAAGTAATATTAAGTTAGACATTAAAGTCCCAGTCATATGCGTCAAGTTTGTATAACTTTGAAGAATTACTAAGTTAACTTGTTCTGTCATCCCCTTTAATATCTCTTCTCTTGAAGGTGTAACGTCTCTTTATTATTTTCTCTGTTCCTATTTCTCTCTCTCAGTTTTATTTCTGTAATTTATAATTTATTATTTTTTTGGTTCTAGTCCTGGCTATGGTGAGCATATCCCGCTGCATGCGAACCTGTGCATAATTGCCCCCTCTTTTTTTTTCTCTCCCTGCCCCCTCCTCCGCATAGCTCCCCAACCCCCGCACAGAAGCCCATCCAAGTCGTCCTCACTCCTTCGAAAGAGTATAACCCTCAGTCGAGTGCGACTTGGCGAGCGCTGCAGGAAACGGACGCGCCCATGGACCCTGAGAAGGTGGCCAACTACACCTCGCTCAAGGAGCATGACCCGATCTACTCCGAGGTCTATACGGCCCCCGTGGCGCCCAAGCCGGGCCAGCGCCCCGTCCCCAGGACCAATGCCCTCCCCGGCCCCCGCTCGCCGGTCTCGGACCTCCTCCCCGCCAGCATGAGGCCCGCCGCCGCCAACGACGCGGCGGAGCTCGACGGCGCCGCCCCCGCGCGG